CAGCTACGCCACATGGGGCAGTGGTCCTATGAAGACCAGAAGGTAGGGTTGGGGGGTGGGTCAGCTTTTATCTGGCCTTATCTCACCATAGCAGGGTGTGTGACAGTGATGTCTTCAGGATCCACCCAGTACGTACTTGGCTGGGCCAACTTAAACACCAGCCCGGGACTGCGAACTGAATGGCACCGGGCTGTCAGGTCCGAATCTTGGTATTGTCCCAAGTCCAGGAATGTTTCACCAAGGGACAAGTGGCAGATGAAAAAATCCAGGGGTGTCACTTTTTTGTCTTTTCGCTCCCACCTGCCCTGTCAAATCTGAAGTCTCACCTGAAACCTTAAAAAGTCATAAAAATGTCGCTCCCTTTAGCCCAGTCCCCTCCAATCCGCTTGTCCTCTCAAAACACCCCGAAGCAGGCTATTCTTTGGAATGGCATTGGGCTGGTGGATGGGGTCTCCTGATTGGTTCATTTGAAATGTAGTCGTGATTACGGTAGTACTGGTAAAGGCCGCGTGGCACTGCTCTGGGTGTGCAGTGTAAGAAAGATGGATGGCTGGAACATGAGAGCAGTATTGATGAAAACCTGGTCAACCAATCAGGGATAAGCAACACTGGCAGGGATGAGAGTGAACAGACTGTACTGAAACTAATATGTGAGGGTGTTGGTGACTCTCAGTGTTAAGGGGGAGCGGAACAGTAATTAATTCAGTAGATGTGGGCAGAGTGAATCTGCACACTTAGCACGCCTGATAAGACCCTAAGCAATTACAGCCTGGAGGTCATGCACTCGGGTTAAAGCTGCCTCACTGTGGATCCCCGTCGCAGGCCAGACCTCTCAGCCAGCCGCTCATTTCCACAAAAAAAAAGCACCATGTAGCAGACAGCTGCTCTGCAAACCATTTAAACCAGAACGGGAGGCGGCAAGTGCCGGCAGCCCCTCCAACCAGAATCATCTACTGCATCAGAGAGTAAATAGGGTGGGGTGCATCCACCCTGTTTATTCAGAACAGCAAATCAGCTGATCTTCTGCACATGCTCAGTGCAAAATATACAATAATTCGACTGTACATTTTTTTTGGATGACTTTGGAAAACTACAGTAGGCTTTTACCCTACATTATTGTATTTATATTTTAAAACACTTCATTTTGTAGATAGTAATGGGTGTAATATACTGATTATTGTGTTGATTGGCTCCCCGTAGCTAAATAGCTAAAGCATACTGGGTGTGTAATGCATTTAATGAGGACCTGGATGCTATGAATTATGGGTAACTGTGTCTTATTGTGCATGTTCACCCTACCCTTTCTGCACAGGCTCCCAATATCCTGTCAATAAGATGTACTGAACAGCAGGGAAGTGTTTTCTCTAGTCTAATCTTTTAAGACCAGTTCCGTCACTCCAACGTGGTTCTGGCCCAGGGCACCAGAGCAGCATGGAAAAGTTATTTGTAAAAAAGCAGGCTGGGTGTTGATTGACGTGCACAACCCCGGTCAGCCCGACACTGGCCCTTGTGTAGGGAACGCCTCCTTTGCACAGTTCTACTTTACATGTGCCATTCCCTCATTGGATGGGAGGAGGAGAATGGGAGAGGGATAACCAATCACGGGGGAGAACTGAGAAGCAATACCCAATCAAGAAGGGGAACAGGGTCCAGGGAGACTTAAAGCAGATGTTTTACGGTCCCTGTGCACAGAACTGAAGATGAACTTGAGTAGTGCTTGGGCTGTCTGGGTGGGTGGGGAGTGCCAAGGCAGCAGCCGACAGGAACATCAACAGGCAGGTGAGCGTAGCGGTGAGGGGGGGCATCGGACGGATCGGGGCGGGGAGCGGCAAGATCAGCAGAGGCACCGGCGGTCGCTCTTGGTCACCTCCTCGGAGGAGTGCACCACGTTGGGCACGAAGCCGCTCTTGACCCCCTCCCAGCCCTCTTGGATGGTGATGTCCCCACGCTTGACCAGCTCGAAGATGTCGCGCGTCAGGTCCGTGAAGGCCTTCTCCACGTTGATGGCGTCGCGGGCCGAGGTCTCCACGTAGCGCATGCCGTAGGCGCCCGCCAGCTTCTCCGCCTCCTGCCGGCTCACCTGCCGCTGCGCCTCCAGGTCACACTTGTGACCCACGAGCAGGAAGACGATGCCGTGCGGCTGCACGTGGCTCCTCGCCTCCTCCAGCCACTCGTGCACGTTCTGGAAGGAGCGCCGGTTGGTGATGTCGAAGAGCAGGAGGCCGCCCACCGAGTTGCGGTAGTAGGCCCTGGTGATAGACCTGAGGGAGAGCAAAACGAGGAGGAGGAGGTGCAGGCGGGAAGGATGACGCACGGTGGAGATGCCGTCAGGGCGAGGGAGGTGGGTGAGGTAGACGTGGAGCAGACGGGGACGATAAGACATCACAGCGGCAGGTAGGGGGAGACCGATGTAAAGGAAAGATAAGCAGACGGAGTGAGACATGGAGGGGAAAAAGAGGAAAGAAAGAACAGAAAAATGTGTTTAAAAACAGCACTGCTGCCTCTCACTTTATACGCATGGATGAAGATTCTCTGCCAAGCCGAGAGCAGCCATTGGGCCCTGAAGGTTTAAGCTGCTGAAGCCAAATCTGATCTGCACCTCATTCATAGGTAACAGGCTGGCTAATGAGCACAAAATCAGGGTTAAGTTTTGGAGAATAACAGAAAAAATAAGTCAGTTTGGGTTTAGATCGGCTCAGGGTTGTGTAGCTTCTCGAAAGGAGTCAGAAGGCCTTGAGTTTCCATCAGACCTGCACACTTCCGCCACCTAAGAAGGGCGGCTCTCGCTGTCTGACACAGTGACTATTGTTCATGTGCTATCCTCATGTTATTGAGGACTGTATGGTGGCTCAGTGGATAGGGCTGCTGCATCATAGCTATGCAAACAGGGGTTTGAACCTCATCCTGAGTCTACACACAGTACACCGTTGACTATTCTCCCTCTGTTCGCATCGGTTAAATCCACGTACTCCTGCAAAGTGCTGTGTGTAAGTTTCCCCATAGTAGACTGTGTTTCCTGAGAGGTATGATTACCATGAAGGAAGAGTGGATGGGTGTTTGCTTGATGGCCAGTGACAGCTAAGTTGTGGCTGGAGTCCCCATAATATTTGGTAAGTAACCTCATACTGACTATGGCTTCTTTTCTAGTGGCAATGTGTGGGTATGCCACTTTAGTATTAATGGTGTTTGCACCCCCCCCCCAAAAAAAAAAAAGCTATGGCATTTCTTACCACTGTGTGTGTGTGTGACTCTACAAAAAGATTACAAAAGTTATTAATGGTTCCTTGGTCCAAAATACATTTTACCATATGCTACAGTGGATAGTGTATGCAGTGTTTTTCCAAGGCTGGTTATCCCGAAGGTGCGATGGCAGATAGAATACAGTCATTAAGGTTTGGATAATTGCCACTCAAAAACCGAGGACTACGTTAATCTTAATAATTTCCTCCAAGATTATACAATTATGATGAAACCAATGAAAAACACCAAATTCATTCGCAAACAGCTGTGTTTGTGGAGCTGGGAGATTCCTACTTCTGTAAATCAGTAATATTTACCAATATTTAGAATATTTTACATGTACCCTCTTCCCCAAGCTGTGAAATGATATGCATGAGCTGCACAGTGGACACAAAACCAATTGTACCTCCTAAAAAGCTCTGTGCGTAACTTTACAGCAAAAAGATGAACCAGGAACTAAGAACTTGGAGCCAGCCTGGGAATTCACAGTTCTGTTTAAATTAGTGTCAAAGGACAACCCCCACCCAATTTCACAGCCACCTAGATGCCAGAAGACCATGCCTTCTAAAAATACAGGAATATGTTTATTCAATCTTTCTTTTAGAAGATAGTCACCTGAGGTGTTTGTGCACCGTCTTTGATGCGTTTTAAGCACACGTTTGACAGTCATGAGTCCCTAATTGTATGCCTACTCGCGGTTTGCACCTCGCCGCTGTCATAATTACCCGGAGTGCCATCCTCCTACGGTCTTTTCTGTCGTCGTCTGACATCAGCTCGCAGTTGACTCACATCTACGCACTGGAGTATTTTGCAGTTGCACATATTGGTTTCTGTTAATTTCTCTTAATCTATTTCTTCGATCTTTTATCTGACTAAATAAACAATAAACATTAGGCTTATAATCGTGTTATTTGAAAACGTATCAAGCTGGGTGCGTAAGATAAGGTACTTTTCAATTTGCGTGCAGTTTAGAGATCATAACGTTTGCATAACGTGATTTCACCAGGACTGCACCTGTAGCACTCAATACACCCAGCAAATCTACGTCATGTACACGGTACCTGAATCGCTCCTGTCCCGCAGTGTCCCAGATCTGAAGTTTAATGCGTTTTCCTGGCTCAATCTCGACCAGACGTGAAAAAAAATCCACCCCAACAGTTGGGTCGGACACCTGGGCGAAGCGTCCCTCGGTGAAGCGTCGGATCAAGCACGACTTCCCCACCGTCGAGTCTCCAATCACGATCAGTCGGAACTGGTACAACCATATCGCCTCCATGTCTCCCCCAAGCCTGCGGAGAGATGCACGGTGAAAGGACCCAGGGCAGCACTTTCTGGGGAGGGGTGTAAACAAGCAAACCCCACGGCAACCCGAGTGCCCCCCGCAGCCGCCCCAGCGGCCCTCAACTCCCCTTCGCCGTGTCGCCTTAGGAGAGCGATGCTTGTGAATTTAAACGAGGGCCGATCGGACAAGAACACGGCGACTCTTTGTGCGTCTGATCTGAAACCCCATCCGCCTATACAGAAATAATGTATCCGAGGGGCAAAAACACGTTGCTGTTGTGTTTTCACGTTGCATCGTCCATTTCCTTAGTCACAGCCTCATCCCAAACTAGATGTGCTTATTCTTCTAAGACCTTCGCTGAATCCAAAGTATAACAACGGATTAATTAATCCCGCATTATAAATGAGATCAAAAGTCCAACGCTGAGTTATTAAAAACGGAACGGCACAACACAGCACAATAGATACTGAAATCGTTTAATTAATGGGCGACTTTTGCAAAAAATAATAATAATAAATAAATATATATATACATATATATGTATCCGTGGTCGCAGACCGACTGTTAGTTAATGAAATTATTTTTCATGGAGGTCATCTGGAAAGCAATACTTCTACAAACACTAGGTAAAAGCTGAATTATCAGTTTTTGAGTATAATATTTAGGCCTTTGTTTATCTGTCCAACAGACCTGTGTTTGCTTTAAGTCCCGCTACCGTCGTCTCCCATGGTACAGTGGCAACTACCGCCCCTCTCTCCTGCGTTTATAATACACGGGCTCGGCTAGGCAAACACTGCCGTATTCAGCTCCCAAATGAATACTCCGGCTATTGTCTCCATCCGGATATAACAGGGTAGCCGAGAGCGGATGGTGCTTTTACTGCTCGTAGACGCGATACGTTTGATAACGACAAATAGTCACATTTTTTTGTTATTCGTGCAGAAAACAAAACCGGTTGCATTTCAGAAACACCAAGGTCAATTGGCCTCCATTTTGCAATTATCCGAAGAACCCAGCTGCATTTGCTGGTAGAAATATATAATCTCTTACGAAAATTTTTCACAATAATTACAACGATTATATTTTAGTATCCTGCAAAGGCCAATACAATAAACTTCAAATTCAAGACGCACACCAGAACGATTTAATATTAACACAGCCCAAGACGTTCCGAGGTATTATTAACCTCATAACCATTGTTATATCGAATTCATTTTTGCATATTTAAAAACTACATGTATTAATACCACACAAAGAAAATAATTTTGTACAAAATGTTTGAACAGAACGGATTAATGTATAATTATAGCATATGTCCTTACGGTGTATGGTTTTCTCTTAGAGCTCGAGAACAGCAAACTCCATGTTGCCGAAGGGACAGTCTTTTCTTTCGAATATAAAATCTGAACTAATGGTCTTCGACAAAGCATAAGATTAATCAAACATCATTGGCACTAAAAACAAAAACGAGCAGATCAATTATACTGCAGTCCGTTCTCAAAATTCTATACAGGAAGAAACAAATCACGCCGCTTCCACGATAGATTCGGCTGTTCTTTTGCAAGGATGTCGTAGAGCTATATTATTGTTACGTAATTTTGTAAATTGGTGTCAATATGGAATAATCGACGTCCGTTCGGCGTTATCGATGTGATTGTATTAATCCAAATCCTTTTATTTCCATGTGTTAAAGATGGAGAAATGTTTGGAAATTTCTCTGATGAAATGGCAGCAACACCAGCAGCATCACACAGCCTGACTCATCCCGCATCAGCAACATTACTGTAAAATCCCTAATAGCGGAGCGTCACACTTCTTCCCTTCTGATCATTGCACATGCTCAGGAATTGTTACCGTAATAACTAGTGTAAAATGAGCTCGTTTAAAGTTGCTGTCCAGGAGCGCAGCCATAAATAAGAAAGCTGCTGGATTCTTTAACAGGCGCTAGGCCGTCTAATGGTAAAGGAACTGCATCCATACACAATTTTTCAAGAAAAAACATCCAGCTGTATGAATGACTTAAAGTGGATAAATGTGTTTGCTTAGATTATAAGAAAAAAAACCTGCTAAGATTACCAGCAAACTGTTATATTTAAAATCAAATTAAAACAGACATCATTATGTCCGGTGGTATGGGCAGGAAAAAATCCCGTACAGGTTTGCCGTGGATGTTCGGCTGTGACCCAAACAGGGTGTGGTTAGCTGTAGCACGTGATTATTTTATGCGCGCGCTGAGGATATTCTGGGAAGTCCAATTCAGGAGGAGTCAATTTCCCAACTTTATTCAGCATAACAAAACCAAACTCAGAGTTTAATCATGTTTTAATAAGACAAGAAAAAATATTGAGATAGTGGCGCAATTAAGTGAGCTTTTGAGTATTAGTTGTTTATAGTAGGCCTATAATTAAAATAAAATCAACTAATATAACAAAATACAATGTTATATTGAAATAATCAAACCATGTTTTAACTGAACAGCAGGTCATTTACACCTGGATTTATGCATGACGAGGTGCTCGTAATCGGAGATGTCGGTGTGGCAAGGACATCAGTCACCAAGCGCTAAGTTCACCACGTCTTCTTGCAACATTATTGTGAAGTGGGATTACTAGACTGTCAACCGTTTGCAATAGTGGGACATCACTGGTAAGTATGGAAGCCTCTCTTCATGTTTTGCAAGCTATGTTTACGGTGACTTCAGTCTTATCTATTTTTTTTTAATTTAATGAAAAATATGTAATAAATTTAAGTAAGAAAAGCAGCATTTTAAAAGTAGTACGAGGATGGTAACAGAAGGTGGAGAATTGCTTGATTTTTCATTTCCAACGCAGGTCAATCCTATAGGCGGCAGCCTTGGGTGCCAACACCTCCAAGGGGCGGG